AGATCAAGTTGTGTTATAAGGTAGTTTATTCAAGCATGGTGCCAACTGAGTACAAAGTTTCCCTGTGTGGAAAAGCTAATGAGTCTTACCACCCTCCTCTGGATAGAATGAGTGCTGGGCAGTTTGATTTATTAATAGCACTGCCCACCCTGTTTCCACACAGCAAAGGCTCTGTTAAAATGAAACACCCTAGACACAGAGTCATACAGTGAAGTAGAAACTGTTTAGTCATATGGTAAAGTATAAACTGTTTACATGGAAGAGATTGCTACAATTCTGTTTACATTTTTATTTATTGTTTTACATTCCTTTTTTATTGATTCTCTGTCTTTCACATCAAGTTTCTCAATCTAATTCATTTCCCTGAACCTTTGTATCCACCCTCTGCCTTTGCAACACCCCCCACACACAATAAAATAAAACTTAAGAGGAAAAAAAGGAAAAAGTTTCATCTTAGAAGCTGTAGTGTGATACAGCGCGTCTCACAGTAAACCCCTTTGTCCATATATCTTTACTTGCAAACTTCTGGTCTCTGCTGCCCTACTGCTGCTGGGCTCTCACTGGAACTCCTCTTTCCTCTTGGATATCCTGTTGTTGTCCTGTGTCATGGAGATCCTGCAGCATTGAATCTGCAGAACTGGCCCCTTCACATGCACCAGCGGATCATAGATGGGGTGGATGTTAGGTTGGGTCAACCTTAGTTCTGGGTCTGGGTGGTTGCAGTGCTATTCATCCTGCCAGATCTCCCCTGTCCTCACCCCAGGGTGAACTCTCCAGCATTGCCCTGGCAAGTTTACCCCTGAGAGTAATGAGCGAGGGGCAGAGCAGTTCTGCTGCTTTCATGGCCTCAGGATTGGCTCTCCCACGCCTGGATCTTCAGGGCCAGCTCTACTGTGTTGCCCAGGTGAAGCGTAGGAACCACTCTCTGAGTGCTGCTGGTGGTGAGGGACAGGGATAGGTCTTCTTCTCTTATGACCTCAGGGCCAGCTGTCCTACCTGCCACAGGCAGCAAGGGGTGGGGCGGGGGGGGGCATCTCTCTCAATCCACATCACCATATAACAGATGGGGCAGCGCCAGATCTCCCATGCTCATGTTCTCAGAGCAGGTTCACCCATACTCTTGTCAGCACTCAGGAAAGGGGGCCCTGCTATTCAAATGCCTGGGTACCACAGTAGAGCTGACCCTGTTGGTGGAGGCACAGGTGAGCTGGCCCTGAGGATGTGAGAATGGGATCGCTGGTCACACCCACCGTGCCTGCCACGTGGTGAGTGAGAGCCAAGGAAAGATGCTTCTCTTCCTCCCCACCCCCTCAGACTCCCTCCACAACTCCTGACCCTCCTGACTCTACCCACCCCCATCCCTGTCACCTGTGGTGGGCAAGGGGACTGACCCTCCTCCTTACCAGCTGCAGGCTTGGTGGGCCCTGTACCTTGCCTGGGCAGCACAGTAGAGCTGGCCCTGTTTATACTTTTAAAGCAAACTTAACACACGTTACTGCCAGCAGTCAGTCCGTTATCTGCATTTCAAATGTGGTTCTTCCAAGGATTCTGCCTCTTATTACCATTGAAAACCAAGTCTAGTGAGAAAATATGTCACTTGCCTATAAATAATATATGATAAAAAGTAAACGTAACACAAATAATTCACTTTCATGCCAAACTAAGACTGTTATTTTTTTTACAGTTTTAGTTGTTTAGTCATTTTGAAGTTCAAAGGAAAACTTCACTTAAAACTCTTACTGTTTTAAATATGAGTAATGTTTACTCCCCCCAATCTGAATATAGAAGCTGGTCTCTCTATGCAATAGAGAAGAATATTTTATATAACTGACAATTGATTTTGTTTGTATATTGATATGCACATGAAAAGTTCCATTCAAAAATATAGATAATATTTTGGAATCCATAGACTATTGTCTAATTTTTATTATAAATAATAATGTTTATGGGATTATCATTATCTATTTCTTTACTAAGTGTCCATAAGGCTTTACAGATGGTACAATTACGATTTTATGTAAATCTCTGAAATAGAGATGAGGTCATTTATACAAAGGAGATAATGGGAATATAAATGTAAGTTAGATGATTATGTAACCAGGGAGAAAATCTGTTATGAAAGTTATTAATTAACCTGAGAAACCTAGAGAGTTAATTCTGAACCACTTTCCCTGTTTTACTGTATTATAAAATAGTCATCACTCAAGCTTTCTTTCTCACATCTGCTATGAAAGGAATTATTTGCAAGTTGTCATCAACTGGGTTAGGGAAATGAGCTAAGACCCTGGGTTGCACTTGGCAGAATGGTGAGCTGGCCTCCATATGTACAGTGTTTGTCCAAGTGACCCACAGTGGTTTTGATGCTACTGAGTTCTCCCAGAGAACTCTCAATAAGTTGTTTCTCAGCGAGTCTCTCTGGGGAGGGCTTTCTATGAAGGCTGTCTGAGAGCAGACCAAATAATTGAACATGCTTCTAATATCAGAAACTTCTGTTTTTATGCTACAGAAAGTTTCAAGCATGAACTGTGACAGCAATAGGAACTCCCATCTCTGTACATATCTTTGTATTTTTTTAAAAAATGTTCTTTCTGCTTCATTGGTCTTAATTGCAGTGACTAATAGTCATTGGAAACCATGTGTTTTCATGTATTGTAATTGCTGACCTTGGTGTGGAATTCAAGTGGTTTTGTATGCATGCCTCAAACTCCAATGTGCAGGTTTGAAAAAGAGGCTAGAGAGGAAATAATACCACTCTATTAGAAATGTGAAAGATATGTACCTTGATAATACTGAGTAATGAAATCATATTCTAGAATAAAATAGAATAGAAGACACAGTTCTTTGTATTTCTTATCAAAGTTTGAGTTGCTAATAGGTATGCTTTGTTTTTAAAGAGCACGAAGGATTAAGTCACCTGGGAACATGATAAAAAGAAGGGCTAGAAGGGCAGTCACAAGCCCATGTTGTTCAAAGCTTGCCCCAGTACCCACAAGAGAGCTTGTGTTGTTTTAGTGCACTACTTCTGAGTGACCAAATGACTCTGGAATGAAGGTATCTTACAGTGTGAGTGTGCTTTCATTTTACACACACACACACACACACACACACACACACACACACACACACACACACGTTCAGAATCTGCAAACACACTGTCACATACCAGTGTGACAGCCCAGACCCTCCTTGCTCACACTTAATCCTCCCACATATTTAGCTACCGTGCTAACTACTTCTCCACAGTTTACCGGATGAGACTTGCCGAAATTGAAAAACAAAGGTGATGCAAATGTCCGTGCAGGTGCCTCTCTATACATCATCCTGCTGGCTTTGTCCTATTTATCCCTCTCTTTCCAAAACCATCCTCACACAGAGCACTGCATAAATGAAGGCAACAGTGGTGGGTCTCTCCTTAGCTAGCCATGGCTCCATAGCACTTAAAACTAGGCCTCCTTAAACACCTTTCTCTGTAGCCAATGCAGATCTCTGGCTCCACTTAATTGTGTAATTCTGTGGCTTTATTTTATTCTTCATAGTTTACCTGAGTGATTCGCACACCATATTAAAGTGTCTCCAGTTTATGTTCCATGGTGAGGACTCTCCTAGTGTCCTGTATGACAGTTCTTTAGCAATCCCTCCATTGATGGGCTTCCTTTGCTAGCACAGCTCATGTTCTAGCCTTTTCCTACTTCTCTATATTTCTGTGTTGAGAGCAATTTTAGGCTGGGCAGTGGTAGGGCACACCTTTAATCCCAACACTTGGAGGTAGAGGCAGGCAGATCTTTATGAGTTCCAGGTCAGCCTGGTCTATAGAGTGAGTTCCATCCAGGACAACCAGGGCTGTTACATAGAGAAACCCTGTCTCAAAAAAATAAAAAAATCAAAAGTAATTTTAGTAGTTCGCTATTCAGCTCTTTCTATGCATCTTAATTTAAATAGTTTTTTTTTTACTATCTTAGTTTCTTAGATTTAATCATTCAATAATATATATCTATTTAAAGTTTCATGTTGTATGGGATTATATATGTATGTGTGTGTATATATATGTATTTATATAATTTGTATTGACTAATTAAAATGAACAAGTGAATAAATTCTTCTATGAAAATGCTATGTAAAATTTATGAGCACCAAAATTTAATGCTTCAACAGATTTTGGCTATCTTTCTGAAATAAGATATGTTTCAATTTAAGTAATATATATAAATTCACTTTTATGAATTATAGTTAATAGATGAAACAAAGGTTGATGATATATATCTGTACTTTTCATGTAAATGCTTTCTTTATAGTGCCATCAAATCAATAAGATGCAGAAAAATATATAAACTTTTGCATAGCTTGTTAGTAACTGACTCTACTTTCCTTCTTAAAAATATAACATTTATATGTATTCTTAGGAGAGTTTCATACATGTATTCAATGCATTTTGACCACTCTCATTCCCCTCCCCCCGCTCCTCCGGCTCACTCCTCATGTCCCCTTCCATCTTCATGTCTTTGTACATATATATAATCTGCTGAATGTAGTTAGTGCTGCCCTTATACACATGGGTGTGGACGAACTGGACACACCCCGAAAGAAAACCGACTTTCTCTCCTAGCAGCTACCAACTGTTGGTGGCTCCTTAAGTAGGTGTGGGGGCCACATGTTCCTTCTGAATCCATGCTGGAATTTTGAGTGTGTTTATTTTGTGTAGATCGTATGCAAGCAATAGCCCAGTCCTCCCTGACCTCTGGCTTTTAAAATCTGTCCACTCCCTTCTTCCTCTATGTTCTCTGGGCTGTTGTCAAAGAGTGTGTGACAATGGTGTTTGATTTATGGCTGAGCACTCTGCAGACATGGAAAATCTGCACTGTGACAACTGTACTATACTAACACTGCCATCCTTTGCTTATCTATTCTATGTAATATTATTATTATGTCTCTGTATTTTTATTAAACTGTGGAATCACAGTGAATTTCAAACTAAGGTAAAAAGATCTGCCTTTTTCTTTTAGGAAATTTACCAGTGGTGTGGTTCCTCATGCAACAAATACGAGCGCCTGAAAGCAAGCCAGGTTGCCACTGGCATTCGGGACAATGAAAGGAAGGGAAGATCTCAGCTCATTGTGGTGGAAGAAGGAAGTGAGCCCTCAGAGCTTTTGAAGGTATTGTGATTGTGTGTTGAAAAGTCTCAGTCATGTGTGTGTGTGAGAGAGAGTGTATGCGAGAGAGTGTGTGTGAAAATATGTGAGAGTGTGTAATGTGTGTGTGTGTGAAAGTGTGTGAGTGTATGTGTGTGAGAGAGAAAGATACAGAGAGGATAGGGGGAAGGGGTGTGATCAAACATATTTTCAAATGGGGATCCTAGGCTAAAACCATTTTAAAAGCTCCATGGTTATATAAGTCATGGCACCATGAAAATTCAGTCAAACATGGTTTCTCTCATGAGCTCTTGATCCTACTTATATGTCTTTTTTCCTTTTTCCAATATTGGTGCTTGGACCTAGGGCCTTGAGTATGCTAGGCAAGTCATCTACTACTCATCATCATATGTTTTGAAGTGTATAATAATTTAGTCATTTAGATTTGATTACTTTTAAAATGTACTAATTTTCTTTAACTTAAAATGCAGCTGGAAGAATAGCTCAGCAATTAAGATCACTGACCGCTTTTCCAGAGGACTAAGATTTTATTTCCAGTGCCCACATGGTTGGGAATTACTACTCATAGCCATCTGTAACTTCAGCTCCAGGGGATCCAATGCCTTCTAGCCTCTCCAGGCATCAGGCATGCATATGGTATACAGATAATACAGTCAGGCAAACATCAACACACACCAAAACCAAAAATAATAAAATCAAGTTTTAAAAAAGAATGGAAATTCTTGTGCTAACGTGTTAAATACAGCAATATTTTATATATAAGACAAGCCAAGAATCTTGTCTTGTAAATAGGATATTTGTGATTTTCTATACTTTTAAAATGAATGTGGAAGTCTCCATAGCGCCCCAGAACTAACCCTTTATGTGTTGACTGGTTTTGATGTCAACATGACATAAACAAGAGTCATTTGGGAAGAAGGATCCTCAACTGAGAAAATGCCCCCGCCAATTCAGCGTATGGGCAAGCCTGTGGTGCATTTTATTAATTGATGATTAATATGGGTGGGACCATCCCACAGGGCAGGCAGGGGATTGTACCACATCTAGGTAGGTGGTCCTAGGTGGTGTAAGAAAGCAAGCCATGTGGAGCAAACCTGTAAGCAGTGATCTCCATGGCTTTCAGTTCTTGCCTCCAGGTTCCTGCCTTGAGTTCCTGCCATGACTCCGTTTCCTGATGCGTATGATCGGAACATGTAAACTGAGATAAACCCTTTCCTCTCTAAGTTGCTTTTAGTGATAAAAACCCTAACTAAGACACTTTACTGTCACACTGACCTCTGATTTACTTGTGACACAGTGACACGGCTGTGCGTGCTCACACTTGGTGTCCTTGCTTATTGTGATTCTTTCAAAAAAATTGAAAAAAGAAAAGTTAAATATCTTACATATTGTATTATACTGTTAAGATATGAAAATACTAATGGGAGGGAAATGAAACCTAAAAATGCAAATTTAACTTTGAAGTAGTAGAGAGCAGTAGAGTTCCCATTCCTAAGATGCTGTCTGCATTTCAGAGACTTCTGTTGGGTTCATTTCTAAAAATACATGCACTGTGTCTCCACTCAGTGCATTCAGGGTCTGTGCTGCGTCCTCAGCTTGGTTGGGAAAATTACAACTTTAATTTTCGTGCACTTGTGACCGTGGCATTTCCTCAAATTGTGAATGTAACAAACCAGAGAAGCACAGTCCTGTGACTATTTAGCCTAAAAATATCAGTTAGCTTCATCACAGCTTGGTAGGGTTTTTTTTTTTTTTGGTTGTTTTTTTGTTTTGGTTTTTGAGACAGGGTTCTCTGTGAATCTCCTCTAGCCATCCTGGAATTCACTCTGTAAATCAGGCTGACCTTGAACTCAGAGATTCACTTGCCTCTCCTCCTGAGTGCTGGGATAAGAGATGTGTGCCACAACCACCTAGCGTTAGTTATTTTTGATATCTTCTGTTCAGTAAAGTAATGATGTTCAATGAGCTGATGAAGAAGCTGATTTTTTTTTTTTTTTTTTTTTTTTTTTTTTTTGAGACAGGGTCTTTCTACCTAGTCGTGGCTGCCCTGGTATTCTCTCTCTAGACCAGGCTGGCCTGGAACTCACAGAGATCCTCCTGCCTCTGCCTCCTGAGTGCTAGATTAAAAACATATTCCATTATACCTGGAAAAAGCTCATATATTAACTGACTTCTTACAAATATATTTAGGGCCTGGGAAAGGCATAGTAAATTGAATCTCTGAACTCAGAAGATGGAGGGGAGAATCAAGAATTCAAGGGCATTCTTGGCCACATGGCAAATTCAAATCCATTCTGTACTATAGGAGAGCTTGTCTCAAAACAAAACAACAACAAATAGGTATATGATAGATTTATTGATAGTTGCATTCCAATATAATTGTTTTTCATTTAATCCTTTGTATTTATTTTATGCTCTTAAACATATTTTTTCAGAGGGAGCCAAAGTTCTCTATAGCATACTAGTACAGAAATGGCCAAGAATCTTGTTGTGTAAGATAGTGAAATGTCATTTTTTTTTGAGACTCTGTGCAGTGCTAGGCTTTTAGAGGGGTCTACACATCTAAACGTCTTTCAGAATACCCTTCACATTCCACCTCTTATTCATTTGGGAGAGGATTTTTTTTTCCTCTCAGTTCATCCACCCAACAGTCCAAACATTCAAATATATGGGGCCATTCTCATTCAAACCATCACAGGTTTGCTGTCCATAAAGATTATAGTCTCGGCTTATTGTGCTGTCTAGTAAAGGAGCTAAACTCTTGAAAAGGGAAAGACTGATGATGGGTTTTGAGGTCTACACACTTTACAGAGCTATGCACATTTCCAGTGTTTCTGAAGGTCCTAGACAGCTTCAGTTATAGAAGTGGGAATGATTTTGAACTTGATGACTTAAGCTTTGGGACACACATACTGTGCGTTTCAGCATGGAGGGCACTAAGAAAGAAATCACACTGTTTGTCAAACATCGGTGCTGGTCTTCTGCAAGAGCTGTATGAACTTAAACATGTCGTACCCATCCTTCCAACCCCAGGACTGTGTTTTAGATTGAAGCATAATTACACATTTAACTCAATCTGACAGTTTCTCAAATGTCCTCTATGGAGGGGATGGGGCATTATTTCCTAAGCCCTAGGAAATTTATCTCTGAGAGTCAGAATGAAGTCAACCAAAGAAGTGTAATAATAAAACCAAGATGCTGGTGGGAAAGTCTTTTGCAATCATTTTGGAACAATGTGTACAGTATTTTTAAAGGCTTTAAGGCTTCATGGGAACATACTATTAATAAGAATAAAAATCACCTTATTTCTTTTCATCAGAGAACAAGCATGGGAGTTTCGAACTCCTTAAATATAAGACCTAAGATTGTTCTGTGTCTATAATACACACATTTTTTTTTTAAAAATCACTCCTTAAACTGTTTTCTGTGGCTATCTTACTTATTTCATTGTTAGTAAATACTCTACACTTTGTAAGAATGGAAATATGAGTTGCCCGAGAAATTTATTTGGTCAACAGACTCAGTAAACCATTTATCAGCGAGAAACAATAAGAAAGTTTGGTAGAAACTGTATTTGTTTTGGTGTGTTTTCCAGGGTACTGTGCTCATTGTTGACTCTATCCCTGCTCTCCTGGGCCTTTTTGTTAGTTCTTGAGAAACTTGACAGTGCCTTAAATATTGTCAAACCCTCATTCCTGGTGTCCGGTACATGGGAGTTTGTCACCAGAATTTATTATCTGATTGAAAGAATATTATTATTAGAGCCAGGTAAGAGAGGACTTTCATTCCCAGTTTACTGTTCAAGTGGTTTAGTTAAAGGGATCAAATATTGGCCCCTCTGTCTAGATTACTCCTGAGGTTGTGTCTACAGATTAGAGGTAGTACCAGTGGTACCAGAAAGCAAGCTCCTTCCCCTTTCTCCTCACTGTTGCATTGTGAGGACATCTTTTCTTCCATTTTCCAGTACAGCAATGATGCTCTGAATAACTGATAGTCAAGAAAGGACACATTATGGTTTCCATAGCTGTCTATATCCACTTTACTGCCCAGCACTGTTCAAAGCAATGTTCATTTAATTGTTCTATTTTTGTCAGTAGTGACAAAAATAGTAGTGAGGATTGAACCCAGGGCCTTAAGCTAGGTCAGTGATCTACTACTGAGGTGCACCTTTTTTCCTTTTTTCTAATTTTTCTTTTTTGGTAGGGTCCCATTAAGTGGCCCAGGCTGACCTTGGCATCTCTCGTAACCCAGTCAGGCTTTGAGCTTTCAATTCTCCTGCTTCAGTCTCCAGAGTATTTGGGATTACAGACCTGTACCACCAGACTTGACTCAGTCACTTAATTGAGTGAATATGTTATTTGGATTTCTGCTATTTGCTTAACTCCGATATGCATTTTGTCCCTTATCAAATTCTTCTGATGGGAGGAATCGAAGTATTCTGAACCAAGATAAGAACTGTGTGGATGATAGCATGGTTAACCATGTGCTGCAATAAAGTGACAGTATCTTAGATAATTGTTGTCTCATCAAAGTTCAACATGGCGACTTGTGACCTTACTGATAAGATACCACCTTCACAGGATTGGCTTAACTTGACACTGTGTGGCAGTCATTTCTGAAAGAGTAACTTCCCCCTTTACTCTGCTGTGGAGGTGAGAGACAAGCGGGTAGAGTGTAGCTGGATGATGTAATTCCAAGATAGCTGGACCCAGTGAGCAGCAGAGAAACTTTGCCCCCAAAGTATACTTTTGATTCAATAAGTTAATGTAAATATTAAACTAGGTAAACTGCTATAAAAAACTAAACTAGAGTAGCAGGTTCCAGCTCTGTCATTTAACTGCACCTCATGTTATCATAATATTGATTACATGTTATCAATATTAGTAAAGAACTATAATAATAAGACTGCATCTTTCAGTCCCTTTAAGCAAATATCCTTTTACTCTCTTGTGCTAAAAATTAACCAACCCTGGATATTAGTGGCCAAATTTCTTATTTAATAG